TATTACCGATTTTCGTGTTTTTTGGGCATAATGATGATGCGAGAAAATATGTACACATAGGACAGGATAATAACATAATAAACCCCTACAGATCGAGCTAGCTCTGTTGAAGGTATGCGTATGTATATCCCTTGTGATCTGAAGGACATTGGTGATCGGGGTATGTTTGCCCGAGGTGATCCGAAGGACAACGGTGGCCTGAGTATTTTTGCTCCATGCTGCTCAATAGGACACAAGTGTTCTCAGTATATATGTTTGCTCCATGTTGATCTTTTAAGGCGTATATGTATAGGTGTGAGCATTTATATTTAGCTCATGAGGATCTGTCTTACCACTGCTGTAGTAGTGTGAAAATAAAAATCTAGTTCGTGTGACAGCATCGAGATTCAAACCCACGTCCAAACGTCAGAAAGTTGCTCACCTACTGAAACACGCCAAACAGTTAAAACCACGCCAGAAAAGTTGCACAGCTACCTACAACCTCTTCAGCCACTGCTGTTGTGTGGCAGATGCAACAGCAGTTTTAATGCCCCGGCCTCGCCTTATAAACCCTAACGGATAAACCTGCAGAAAATACAGCAGTAGGTATCGGTGGTAATGTCCAGTCAACTGGCGTGCAGGGGACATAGGCATAGAGTCGCCCTGACGTAGATTGAGACCTACATAGGTTCTCCTGTGAGCCTGCCTGCATGGGAGCATGGCTTACTTGTGTCCGCCCCTGGATGCAAACATATTTTTCGCGTATCATATCATATGGACACAAAAGATAGATGCGATATGCTACGTGAACTGGGCAAATGAGGAACCGCAGTCACTCGTGACCTTCCCCATGTAGTACCTTGAGGCTTCGTCGCCAGCAACGGGTTGGGACGGCAAAGCACAACAACCAACAACCACACATTTCTTGAACCTCAGTTTGAACGAAACCTGCACCGCCATACAACCCGCTGTGGAAAACGGAGCTCGCTACAAGTACAACACACAGGTTGGCGTGCCCCGTCGGCCGGATCGTGCCACAATACGGCGCTGTGTATGCATATGATGCATGCATGCTACCAACGTTTGTACATTGGGCTGTTGTATAAATATCTCGAATGGGTAGTCTTTCTGTGTGTGTGATTATTTATTCCTTAATAAATAGGGAAAAGGTGGATGTGTGATGAATCTATCGATACGGAGACCACAAGCAGTGATGGATGGAGACCACCAGTTCGACCAGGTGGTACGCATCACCAGCACCGCAGGAAAGCGACGCTGCTGCTGCTGCTGCTGCTGCTGCTGCTGCTGCTGCTGCTGTGGAGTTTCTTCGTTGTGCTTGCGGTGTCTGCTTTGCCTTTCGACTAGAAATACTGACGTGAATGTACAGCAGTACATATGCATACTTTTCACGGAGACAGCTTCGGCAGTTCCCCTCCTCTCTCTCCTACTTCTGGTAGTATTGTGCGTACCGTACTCGCAAAAGATATACCTGGTACTCGCTTACTACCGAATAGCCATTTCTTCACTTGCGAGAAGAAGCTTTGAACCCCACAACCTGGTGCTCCCGTGCTAAAATAGTACCCATCATACAGCAGTAGGTGCAAGGTTACCCACGAGTAGACCAAACGCGTTGTGTGACCTTACGGCTGCTGCTGTTTCTTGGGACATTGAATGCAAGCAGCTTGCATGCAGGCATTGGCAGAATACTCCTGTGACTCGGAGGATCGCCGAACAAGTGGACCTGCCTGCCCTTCCTTGCCGAAACAACGCCATGCACAAAATCCATGTGCCCGCATTCTTTGTACGGCAAAAACAGACTACAATAGCTTGTTTTGGCCCAAAAGGGTGCTTGGGAGATGGACGAGGTCGGTAATTTGCGGCGCTTTCTTGTTGGCACAACAAAAACAACACGACGCTCGCAACTGACTACAGAGACAACCATCGTTACCTCGCCCATATCTCCTCTCTGCGCGTAAGCATAGATGCTGCACTTCGGATAGATGCACGCATCGTCCTTGGCAGTAGTAGCGGGGCACCAATCCACACGAAGTGCGGCAAAATGAACAACAGAGACTTTCGCAAGTAAAACGAACGCCTTTCCTACAAGCAGGCTACAAGTACAAGTTGTTGTTGTTTTTCTTCACATTAAACTCGTGTCAGTTGCTAATCCCAAAATCTAGCAAAGTACACCTGCTGCGCAAGAGGACCGTGCATAATTTTTTCCCGAGGGCGCAGCAGGTTTCCGGAAGTTTGGCGTGTGCTGCTTGCTGTGTAAGCGTCCGTCGCCGCGTTTGAAATAATTCAAGCACCGGCGCCCTGCTGCTGCTCACCACGACGACGGCTTTGGCAATACTAATTAAGGAATAATAAATACACCCACAGAAAGACTACCCATTCGAGATACACCCACAGCAGTCGAATGTTAATGTTCCACTTCCATGGCACGCAAAACTCTTGCTGCCTACGTATGTACGGTTGTGCTGCTGCTGTGTTGTTCTTCGAATCCAAGGAACGAATTTTATTTCTTCCACCCTTTTTTCTCTCTCTTGTGACCATTGACCCCCATCACTGATGTGTACTTGAATCGAAAAACACACGACAGCAGCAGTAGAGTTTCTTTGAGACCGATCCTACATCTGGTACTGCTGTAGGCGTCACCAAAACCTACGCTGCCGCGACCGCTTGAACATATCCCGGGGGCAGGGGTACAGCAGTAGTCCTAAGTCATGTCAAGTGAAACAACCTCCCTCATCCAAACCCCAAGAGCCAAGGGTTGGTAGGCTCCTATTTTTCGAAAGCAGGAAAACTCCTCGGAGTGATTGCCTGCCGCTCTGCTATGTAGGGGGCGGGCAATTTCGCGTGTCTCTGGCCGGTTGGGGTAGCCAGTTCACTGGGTCGTCTTGCTTCTTTTCGAAAGCTCTAGAAACCTCCCTCCCCCGCACGTAGGGGTCTGGCAAGATCGGGCAAAAGGCCATCCTCTCTCTCCCTCTAGCCTCCTCTCACTGCCAAATCATGCCAGAAGCCGGAAGGGATCATACGATATGCATACCACAAGAGAGAACCCATCAGGCGGGTTTCTTCATGGATTGATGACTTCAGCACCTTCCTCTGTATGCTCTGGCTACCTGACCCCGATCTCGACGCTATAGCTACTCGGCGCTGCTGCTCCCACGCGGGGGGGGGGGTGAGAGATCGTGTACGCAACGTAACGCA